ACGGCAAATATGTTAATTATATTTATCCTATATTTTGTGGTTTTGATTTTTGCTTATTTTTGGGTTTATGTTTTTTTGATTGAGTACGGGATTGCGAGCATTGGGCCATATGAATAAAAACTAAGCAATTGCTTTTTCTTAAATATCTCGATTTATTCAAACAAAATTGAAGTAAACGGTATGAAATTTTAAGAAAAAGCAATTGCTTATGCCGTTTTCTTTTCTACCGAAAAATGTTGCCTTCTCAGTGCTCTCTACGCACAGATACTAAGGAAAGGGCAATGAGAAGGCAACAATTTTTGTAGAAACGAAAACGCCATTAGTTTTTATTCATACGACCCATTGTTAGTGCTGGCTTCAATTATAAGAGTATCCAGCTATTTAAAATTTCACCATGGGGTAATGATCGGGATCGGATAAATATATATAATATAAACATGCATTATGCATGTTTTTAAAATCCTGTGATATAGGCATGTAATATTGCCAACTGTGGTATTTACTGTGATATTTAGTTTTTAAGCATATAATNCCTGTGATATAGGCATGTAATATTGCCAACTGTGGTATTTACTGTGATATTTTGTTTTTAAGCATATAATAACTGTGATATTTATTTTTTAAGCATATATGTGTGATATTTACTTAAACTCTTTTAGCAACCAATTGTGATCTTTAGTTTTTTAGCATATAATTTCGTAATAAAAAGTAACATAAACGTAAAAAAAAACATATCTAAAAGTCTTTAATTGCTGACACAGAATCGTAAACCATGGCGAAATTATACCAGGTGTAGTAATAAAACAGCTTTCTCCCTTTATTTTCTTAATTTTTTTTTTTTACAATCAGCTACCTAAACAATTTAACAATTTGTTTTGTTTTATTCTCAATTTTATATGATTTTAATACGCAGGAAATCTTAAAAAACATCACGGGTGACAAATTGAGAGAATGGTTTTACTTGCTATGTTGTTATCATATGTTGTGGCTAAATTTTGACACAAAACAATTGAGTACTCACTGTCAAATATTCCGGTACCAGCGTTACATAAAAAGCACGACAGGCTTCAGGAATTATTTCCACAATAGCTGACCGAGATATACGGAACATTTGGGACAGTGTATGGTAACTGTCGCCAGATGCGAAGTACTTCAATGTCAGCGAGACTCTTTCTTCAACCCTTATGGCTACACGCATAACCGTATTTTGCTTTTGAATAAGCGGTCGCACTTTTGCACATAAAAAGTTTAATTGATCCTTCCTCAAGAAATTTCTGGAAAATTCATTCCCTTCAAGCCGCAAATCAATTATCAACGTTGTGTTGTGTGGGTTGTTTGCTCCGCGCTCCCAAAATTGTCTTACCCAAACAGGCCGGCGTGTACGCGAATCATCCACTTCTATTTTTTTAATCAAAATGGCAGTAATTTTTAATAAAATTGCTTTCTTTTTCAACAGCAGCTTACGTCGAGTATTCATTTTTCGCGTTTTCGTTCTCGCTTTTACAAGAGAAATTGCAAACAAACGACAACCCCACTGCCCATGGTTGCATTTTAGTATCGAGAAAGATTGCCAGAAACTCATTCGCTGTGTGAACAGCCAAAAAGCGATTTCAGAAATTTTTCCTGCCTTCGCCTTTCGCAAATAAAAACCTCTTTCGAAAGACACTTTCCATGCAAGGTGTAACTGCTCATGCAACTGATTTCTCAATTTGACAGCCTTTCCGAAATTTATTGCATCGAAATATATTGCTACGTCTGACACGCTCTTTAGTTTTTGCTTGATGCGCTTGCAAACATACAGACAGACAAAATTATAAAAAATTTAGATTTGGCTTCTGTTGATCTAATAACCCTCCTATTAATTTTTCTTTAACATCTATTTTTTATTACAGATATCGGCCTGTTGCAATTTTGTTATTCTCAAATACTTTATGGCAACATTTAGGTTATCTTATCAATTTAACTGAATTAAAGCTTTCAAATAGGTAGCAACCCGCTTCAAAAATATTTTCATAAGTAAGCACTTGATTTTAATGTCCGTTGTAATATTTCATTTATTTTTCAAATTAAATTACAAAATAAAAACTTTCAGGCAGTTGGCAAATTTCCTAAAAATATTTTTGGCATTAAAATTTCCTATCCTCTTTTGTTTGATGCCAATATTGCAATATTTAATTTATGTTATCAATTAAATTAAAGTTTTTAAATAGGTGGCAACCTTCCACAAAAATATTTTCAGCTGTAAGCTTTTGTAAACCTCTTTCTTTTGACAGCCATATTGCAATATTTAATTTGTCGTATCAATTGACCTAAACTGATATTTTAAACACAGGTGGCAACTCTTTATTTTTTTTCTATATTGTATGCTAGACCTCTAGCGATACATCGGTGAAAACTGCATTCAATTCCATGCGTTCGTTTTCGAGTGATGCGCATACAAACAGTATACAGACAGACAGAGAGTCAAAAATTCTAAAAATTATTTATTTAGCTCTAACAAAAACCCACCATATTAATTTTTCTTTAATATCTGTAAGGTACAGACATCGGAATGTTAAAATTTTATTATAAGTATAGATATAGATTTCATTTATTTTATCAATTTAACACAATAAAATTTTTCAAAGAGGTGGCAACCCTGCTCAAAACTATTTTCCGCAGTAGAATTTCCTGAACCTCTTTAGTTTGATACCCATATTGCAATATTCAATTTATCTTATAAATTAGATTAAATTAAAATTTTCAAACAGGTGGCAACTCTAAAAAATATTTTTTGCTGTAAGCCTTCTTAAGCCTCTTTCTTCTGACGACCATATTGCAATATCCATTTTTTCTTATCTTTTTACCTTTACTGTTAAGAAAAAACCTTTTTTCTATATTTTTGCGATGTTGCTTTGACCAGGGCTTGAACCCAGGTGCTGATGAGTGAAAGCGCGCACTGCTTACCACTCCACCACAGTAGTTATATGTATAGATTATAACTTATTGAAATTCTGAATTTTTCCCCTGCAACGAACTGATATATTTAACATGGCGATGTCCTAGGAATCAGTCAATTATCCGACTCTGCATTTGATTTCAACTACTTTAAAATGCATTTGGCATAAAGCACCTCAAAGTCACAATGCCTCGTTTGAATACTCTTTCGTTCTGCACTTCACAGATGCTTTTTTATACTTCCCAAGACACAATTTGTTTCCTTGACTAAAAAGAGTATCAAAATTCGAAAAATTTACTCAGTGCATTTGTTTCAAAGTAGTCTTTCAACTAGGTGATTAAAAAAATCACTTGCTTCCTCCAGGGTAATGTTCGGTTTCGGCCGAACTGATACTTCTTTACTCGTTCCACCTTATGCTTTTTTGTTTGATTTACAAAACTGCAATCACTAAGGCCTGCGTGGCATGTCTGGCGGGTCCTTTTTTGAAACACTTAATTTCTGAAGAGTTATTAAGATTCTTTTATGTACTGTTGTAGCCACGATTGCAATTGAATGCGTGAATTCCCAGCAGATTCTGCTGCAGGAATGCGCCCTTTTGTATTTTCTTTTAGTTTGTCTATCATCTGAGTTTATTTTTTTTAAATTCCAATTTTAGCTTTTAAAGTCTGAATTAAAAGACATCCTTTATAAAATTTGTCTAATAATAAGGTTTTAAACAGTTATTTAGTTGAGAAATACAACACTTATTTCGAAACTTGCCAAATAGCGTCCTAGTATTAAAATAGTGGCACTGAACCTCTTCTGGTGAACGATTAAATTTGCAGCAAGCAGATCATGTTGAACCTATTCTGCTGTGTGGGACTGTTTGCATACATACATATATATCTTTATAATATAGAAAAGTGGGGTTACAAGCGTTTGCATAGTTCTCTATGTAATCATGTAGAATTATCTAAATACGAAATATGCAAATGTTGCCGCAACAACATCGAAACAATGGTTTACCTAAGAAGTTACATCAGAATAATGCTTTGTTAATGTGCCAGAGCACATAGTTGAAAACAAATGCATAGATATGTACAAATGTACAGACCTCATGTGTATTTATTTATGTTAATATACATACATATAAATACTTAAGAAGAGGAATGTATACATGGCCGATTTATACTAACCTATGTATGTATGAAATTAAAAAATATGTGAATATGAATATGCAAATATCCATATATGTACATATGTAAGTACACACATATGTATATATGTACAATAGACTGCATCACAACCTATACAAAACAAAAACGGTACTGTTTTTCCATTGGAATTATAAAATCTTATATATTTTAAGACGTCCACCAAAATATTTCGGGAAAATATTAAGATTTAAGCGAGCTGGACCTATTTGAAAATACCTCAAAAATTGGAGTTTTTTGTGAATAAAAATAGTTTTTTAAAGAGGTTTTTTGAAAAAAAGCCCTCAAAAGATAAAACGGTGTAATCTTAAAAAATTTGCATACATTTTTTTTTTGAATAAAAAAAAAATTCTGAACGGAATGAAAATATGTAATGAGATTTTTGATGCTTAACTTTTTTCAAAGATTGGTATACGAAAAACTTGAATAACTGAACCTAAACTCTTCCTTTGCATCATCGGACTAGCCTACAAGTGTACCAAATATATTCTACGAACTGATCGCAACAAAACCAAAAAACACTAAACTCTTCCGATTTAGACTTGAGGTATCATTGGAAAGGTATTTTCTCACCCTTTATTTCTTTTCTAATAAGCTCATTCAAAGGATGTAAGAGAAATGTAGGATGAACGAACATCATTCAAAGTTACAATAAGTGGTGTTGGTATTTGAAAAAAAAAAAATTGGGACATGAATGATTTTTTGTTTGGACAGAAATAAAAACAGTATGAAAATACCTTTCTACTGAGATCCCATAAGTCTAAATCAGAATAGTTTTGGGACAGTTATTCAAGTTTTTCGTAAATCAATGTTTGAGAAAAGTAAAAAAACAGCATCAAAAATCTCATTCTTACGATTCCGTTGAAAAGATTTTTAAATATTTTCATGCAGATTTTTTAAGCTTAATCTGTTTTGTCATCTGAGGGGACTTTTTTCAAAAAGTTCTTTAAGAAACTATTTTTATTCATAAAAAACTTAATTTTTGGAGGTATTTTCAAAACGGTCCAGCTGCCTTAAATCTTAATATTTTTCCGAAATATTTTGGTGGGCGTCTTAAGATATAATAAATTTTGTAATCCCGGCGGAAAAACCGCAACTTTTTTCGGTGATGCAGTCTAATATACATATGCAGTATATACCCAACCAGGCGTGATTGGTCGTTACTGCATATTGAGTAAAATGTTGTTATTGCAAAATGTAAAATTTTGAATGAAACCTTAAAAACGCACCTTCGAACAACGACAATGGTGGTGGTGTGTGTGTGTGTACAAACTGCAGTTGTTCGTTTACAATTAACCGCTAGCACCAACAGCTCCTTCACCACCATCGCGACCATCGCCATCTATTAGCATTGCCACCAACCGGAGACCGCAAAATGTACAGCAACAGCAACATCCACCATGCTTACAACAATGCAACAGCAGACGATCGAGATGATCGTGCAAGCTTTGCGGTTATTTGTCGGTATAGATTGAATTGGACACCGCAAGCTCAAACACTGCAGCCGTTTGCAAAAAAAATGCTAATAAAATTCTACACACATACTATACAATGACACCAATTTAATGGGCAAAATAATTTACATATTGCGTATATGTATGTACGTATGTACATATTATAGAAAGGAATATGTATACACAAGTACTTTAGTTTTAAGGATGCAGGATGTTCACGAGAAATGTATGATTTCAGCTAAAAATATGATCGGCTTGAAAGTATTGGGCCGTATGAATAAAAACTAAGCAATTGCTAGTTATTTATTATAATGAGTATTTATACTCATTACCAGGGAACGGATTTTTAGGATCTATTTATGAAAAGGAAAAGTAAAATAGCGATGAGCTGTATGAGCTTTACAACGACATTGGCATACTGCAGCGTAGTGTACAATGCCGTTGAGCAATACCACCAGCTCCGTCAGAATTGGAAAAGACCTCTTGCAGAAGTTTGCTACCAAGCGTGGTTTCAGCCAGGGCGACTCTCTTTCATGTGATTTCTTTAATCCGACGCTGGAGAATGTAATAAGAGCTGCAGAAATAAACCACTCAGAAACAATTTTTTACAAAAGCGTCAATTTCTGGCATACACCGATGACATCGACATCATCGGAAACAAAATCCGCGAAGTCTGTTCTGTCTTTTCCAAATTGGGTAAGGAAGCAAAGCGATTGGGTCTGGTGGTCAATGAGGACAAGACGAAGTATCTCCTGTATTCAAACAAACAGTCAGCGCATTCGCGCCTTGGTACCTACTAGAGATGGGCACGGGACTAAATATTTAATCCCGATCACGCCCATTCCGAAATTCGATTTTTAAGTCCCGAACCCGCACATCCCTACGTTTTTCAGAATTGTACCGCGGGTCCCGCGGGTCCCGATATCTATCTCTAAAGCAGGCTACAAACGGACAACAAATTGAAACGATGGGTTCAGATTTCAACGTGTGAGGAGAGGTTTGCATACCGATCGAAAGTTGACAAAAATGTTCATGTCTTTCAAATTAATTTTAAATAATAAAAATTATAATGAGAGATCTGGCATCTTCCTATTATTTTTTTTCTTTTTCCTCTCAATAAAACATTAAAAGTGCATATTTCAAACATCGTTTTTAAGGAAGGTTTTGTGAATTTGCGGGGATTGCGGTTTTATAGGGAGCATCGGGAAAGGATTTTGGTCCCATCCCGCCCGCCATATTTTTACAGATCTTCCCGATACCGCCCATCCCGGCCAATTTTAAATCAGTGCCGTGGGTCCCGCGGGTCCCGCTATCCCGCGCCCATCTCTTGTACCTACGTCAGTGTTGACAGTTATAATTTCGAGAAAGTAGAAAATTTCGTTTACTTGGGAACCAGCATTAGCACCGATAATAATGTCAGCATCGAAATCCAACCCAGAATTACTCTTGCCTACAAGTTCTACTTTGGACTGAGTAGACAATTCAGGAGTAAAGTCTTCTCTCCACGTACGAAAACCACACTCTATAAGTCACTCGTCATGCCCACACTGGTATATGGCGCAGAAGCAAGGACAATGACAATATCTGATGAGGCGACTCTTGGAGTATTCGAGAAAAGTTTTATGGACCTTTACGCATTGGCGGCGACGAGTACCGCAGACGATGGAACGATGAGTGCAGCGAATCAAAATACGCGGCTCTGATGGCTTGGCCATATCGTTCGAATGGACACCAATGCTGCAGTTCTGAAAGTATTCAACTCGGAACCCGCTGGAGGTAACAGAGGAAGGGGAGGCCCCACTGCGATGAACATATCAAGTGGAGAATGATTGGCTTCACTGGCGTGCTTTGTTGGACTCGACCAAAATCGCTTGAGCGGTTACAGCGACAAATAAGAAGAAGATAAAGCTTGGATTACATATCCACATATTAGAATAGAATTTCCTTCCCGTTAGCCAAAACGTGAGCAAGAATGGAAGAAGAAGAAAAAATTTTGCAAGGAAAACGTAAACAAGTTGCACAAGTGTGACGTCATGCAAACAACGATTCTGTCAAATTCGTTAAGGGAGGAATAGCGGTCCGAGATCGGCGCAACCTTTGTATTCTCTCAATCATGGGTAGTATACATACATATATTCAGAGCCATCGGTAAAGATGTAACAATTTATGAGCCCTTCCTCAGTATTCCGGTTTAATTAGCACACCATTTTAGTGAAATCAACATTGTAGTACCACGAGCAATTTCCGCCCAATCAATAGTACGCAGCAGTGTATTTAGAATACTAGCAGGTGTTGTAGAGATTGCTACTACACCACAGATGCTCAGTTGATAACGCTTCTTATCAAAAAAAGTGCACCCATAAGCGGACACCCATGGTCACCTACTTTTTGTTCGCCTATGAGAGATGTCCGCTTATGGAAATTTCGTAAAAAAATAACATAAACGGGCAGGTTCTGCAATTCACTTCCGAGTGAATTTCAACCCCTACCAACTTGAATTCAAAGCGCACTTACCTCAAATTCACTCGGAAGTGAATTGCAGAACCTGCCGGAAAAATTCTAATTTAAAAAATTTTAGTCGCGGGTTTCTAAATTAAAATAATATTTCCTCGTCAAAAGGAAATAGAAATAGGATGAATTAAAAATAAACTGAAATTTATGGCATTTTCTTTCTTACCGACAAATCTCACTTCGCGCAAGCTGCAAGTAGAGGGCAACGAAAAGGCAACACTTTTTTCTCATAAGAAAATATCTTTGAATATGGATTATGTTCTTGTGTACATATATATATGTTCAAGCGCAAAGGCCAACATCTGACTGAGAAAATAAAATAAAATTTACCACTTCTTAAAGCTTGATTATGGCAACTTAACGTAGAACTTAGTGAATCAAAATGAAACAGATTTCGACGTGGCATAAAGTTACGTTAAGTTTCGTCTGTCCAATTATAAGCAACATCCATTTAACAGAATTTTTAAGTGAGAGCCGTAAGTTACGTTAAGTTGCCATAATCAGACCATTAGAGCTTCGCATCCGCTTATGGAAGTTTTTTTTCATAACTGGACATTTTTGAGTATCCGCGTCCGTTTATCGGGAAGTCCGTGTATGGGAGAGCATTTTGCATTGAAAAAAAAAAAATCCAAAAACCGTGCGTTCCCAAGAATGTGTCCGCTTATAGGGGATGCCCGCTTATTCGAGCGACCGACTAGGAGAGCTTTCACTATTGTTATAAATCCAGAAGATTCCTCTACGTAACAGACTTCAAGTTTTATCTAAGGCTTTCGAAAACGCTGTTCATGCCTCATTCCGAAGAAATCGTTTTACTTTGGCAAGGAAGGTGCTCGTAACAGGAGGAGGTAATATTGTCTATGAGGCGTAGCTATCAGGGTCGCAACGGTTGTCAATTATTAAAACCATTAGCAGTCACCTGAGCAAGCTGAAAAGCAACTGTAGAGATTCTTGTAACTGTTGTAAGATAATTTTACTTCGCTAAAGCAATCAAATATTGCACGTAAGAATGAAGCCAAACAAGTTTGTAAAGTATCGATACCAGCAGCAAGCGAATACTTTCCAAAGAGCTCGTCTTTAATTGCATATTGTTTTATTTTTTTTTAGTTTTTGTTTTCATTTTATTCCTTCGCATTAATGTGAAGAACGCAAGCTGCGCAAACGTATCGACTGACTGGCGTATTGATTGACGGATGAATATTTCATTGCTCGCACTATACCTAGCTTGTTCATCATCATCTTTTTATGAATTACCAATACATGCCCCCATATGTACATGTCAGCGTTGCCGTTTTGGTCCAATTGGACCAAAATTGGTAGGCTCATCATCCTTTGGTAGTTTGGTTGGAAGGATGAAGCTTTTGGTAGGCAAAAGTGAAATTGCAACCAAATTGAGCAATAAAATTTGTTTGCTTAAGATTGCATACTGCCAGTGCTGTCTACTATTTATAGTAACTCTAAAAATATCTATGAATGGTAACCCTGTATTCATAGCAAGCAAAGGAAATAATGACAAGAGAAAGAGTGAAAGAAAGATGTTAAATGTCAAAAACTTTGGCCGCCTTTCTTCAATTGAATTTAACAAATAAGCGGAAAGATTAGTGACGGACAAGCAAGTTAATTTTGCTTTAAATTAGTTACTTTTTAATCGTTGTTTATTTGCAGGTATATCTATAAAGGTTCTAAACCGTCCGAAGTAAGTGTATTGTCCACACTTAAACGACTTGTTCAGGTAAAAAATTGCGACTAAGTAGGCATGTACATATGTGTCAATTAACACATACTGAAAATGCTCGTGGTGATGAATACTCGCCTGCGCCCAAAAACCAAACTCAGAAATAAACTAAACATCAGTACAATAAATAGTATTATGTACTGTAAAGAACTAGTACAAAAGGCTGATGCACATTACGTGTGGTCAGC